AGACACGAAACAAGCATAATACAATACTATCAAAACTGTAAGCCTACAGTAAATAATTAAAAAAATAACTAATCTATAAAAGTGGTATTTACAATTTTATTAAAAGATATTAAATTTTATAGTTATCAAATATACATTATTATTTTATATATTACTCAGCAAATTGATATATAATGCAATCATCATATAAAATATACAATTCATTAAAATTATTTAATATTTTCCTTATTAATTTCATTAAAACCACAAAAAAAAGAAAAATGTTTTTTTTGTAAAAATTTATTTAAATTATAAGAATTGACCTATTTACCCCCTTATAGACTCTTTTCTTCCCTTTTTCGTACATACTTTCCAGCAAATTGAACAAAATCACATACACTGCTTCGCTTGTTAAGAATATCTAAAATAAAATGTAAAATGTGATAATTGTTAAAATGTTAACAATTATTCAACAGTTAAGTTTATTGATGATCTAGATTATCTTTTAATTATTGAAAAGCGATTCAATTACGTATAATCGGCAAGGGAGTAAGTTTCAATAAACATACACGATACTGTTAAAATAACTAGAACTATTTTTCTACATTTATGATGATCTCAATTATCTTTTTCTATTGACATTTTGTAAGCCTTTTTAGAAATCACATTCCATCCAAATGGTTGACTTTGTCAAAATGCAGCAGTGTTGTAGGAGGAATCTTGTGGCCTACACTAGGAATCTCTAACCTGGATCGTGTTGATTGCATTTAAAACATAGAGAATGTTATAAGTACTTACTCGATGTGTGATGTAGTACAGCTGCTGGCCAGCAAAGTCCCAGATGTAAGTCATATCTTTATTATCAATGGCCTGTGAGGTCTTTCCAGTAATTCTATCAACAACTCTTTCCTGAATTTCAGATGGAAGTGCTTGGCTTGATACTGATTAAATAATTTCAAATATTAGCAAAGTTCGGTAACAATATAATGAGATATAATACTTTGAAAATAATGATCACATAAACATGTGATCATGTGAAGGCAACAGTATTTAAAATAATAGTCAGACAATTATAAGTTTATCCATGTCGATCACAATTATCAACACTTCAACAAGAGACCCTCACATTAGAATGATACTGATTAAATAATACTATCAAAGGTTGGTAACAAGATGATTTTATATAAAATATACTATAAGGATAACACTTTGGAAGTAATAATATAACTATGATGGCAACAGTGTTCAAAGTAATAGACAATTTTCTTTGCATAATCTTAGAGATTATATTTTTAAATTAATAAAGTTAATCTATGGTTATATTACTTTAAAATGTTGTAACAATAGCAACTATGGCTTGTTATCTTTATGGTTACAGATATGATAAAAATATGAATAAAATATTTAACTATGTATATTTCTTTGAATATTGATTAAATAATAACTACCTTCTTTGTGTTCTGTTTCTATTGGTCCTGACATCACATCATACTGTGTATAAAAATATAAATAAATCAATTAACACCACTTTATGTAATACAAAAAACTAACTTTAGAAAGGATTGACATTTCAGCTCCATCATGGACA